GAATCGATTCTTAAAACTCTTATTTAAAAATTGGTTTCTGAATTATTGACTCATTTATATTTACTAGGTGAGTAACTGCGCGTATGCGCGGGTTTTGTTTTGAATAACTTGTGTTTAAAAATGTTTACATTATAGTTGCAATGATATTATTATGTAGCTCATGATAAGAACACAATTATTTGCTAGATTGATTTTGCTATTATGTAGCAAATAAGTTTTTCTATACTTTTTATACTTTTTTTTCATGCATATGTTATTTTTCCATTGTATTTGATAAGCTACGTTCAATTTGGAATTAGAGAAAGATTTTGACAGTCAAATCGAGCAAAACATTATATTTAAGAAAATATCATCAAAACAGGAAAAAAGCGTTAAAAGACTATGATTTAGGAGTCTGTTAATTAGACAATTGAATTCTACTAACTTTGTTTGTTGCATCTTATCATTATTGGGTAACTGAAAAGCCAAAAATAAATTTACAACGAAAAAATAGTGATATATTCCAATATCTTTACTTGAACTTATACTATTCTACACTGTTAGCAATCGTAACGCAACAGAGAACAAAAAAGTATATAGCATATGCCTGATTTATTTGACAACAATGAAAAAGACATTATCATCGTTACGAACTCAGGGTCGCCGAAATTATTCGTTGTGTACTGTCGGAAGCTTCTCTTTGAGCATCGAAAACATTAATATTCGTAGTGTAGAATTAGCCATTAAATATATAAAATATGAACATACTTTGATGCATGCGATACACTAATCTAAGATTGCGAATTTGATGTAATTTTGGATCTGTCAAGAAATCTTTCTTTGTGTACTATCAGAAAATCTTCATATTGTCAAGAAACAGAAATAAAATCACGAAATAGAGATAGAAATATCTCACGCCGAGTGTACTCGTACATTTTAAATAAAAATGGCATAAGAATATGACTGCAAATTTTGATTGCCTCATGAAATTGAAAAGAGAGGATAAAGAAGGGAAGCTTAACATGATTCAGCCTCTACAATACTCAGAAGATGCCAATCAATATGACAATTAAAAACCATAAGGATAAACCAAATTATTTCACTTACATAACGAAAATGCTTTAGATTCTTCCGTTGTCTCGCTCACTGACGTGTTTTCGAACCCATACGGCCAATTTTTTTTATGAACCTTTTTTGCATTAAATTTAATTTTTTGGGTTTTTTTCTTATAATAATAGAAAACCGGATCAATAAACCAAACCCTAAACCCAATTAGATCTGGTTTGGGAAACTAAACCAGTAAAATAAGAAATCGAAATCTAGACTAAACCAAAAGTAAAACTGGATCTAAACCAAAGACGGAAAACCCTAACTGCTACAATGAAGCTGCTGCTGGGAGCTTACCACCAGTTCAATCTGCCAGCACCATGTCCAGACTAACCCACCCATTTTGAAGCTTGATTCCTCTGTGGCTCCGCCTATGGGTTTGGTTGTCCACTTCCCTTGAAGGTTTTGATTTGGGAGTTCCACGAGCCATTGTTTTCAGCCTACTTTGCACTCTACAATGAAAGTGTCAGCGACAAATAGATGGATCAACCAAAATCCATTGACAAAGCAAATCTATAGAAATCCTGTAGAGACCAAAATTGAAAAATCAAGGAGAAATTTAATAACCTTTTAAAAGGTTTTGAAAGGCTTTCATGATTGGTCAACTAAAAAAGACGTGAATTTAACAACGGATCGATGTATGACTTAGAAAAAGATTGAAGATAAAGAGAGATGGAGGGTAAGATGAAACGGCGAGTAGTTGATGGAGGCATGATACCCTTGTTTGTTGATGTAGCTAAGATCTGCTAACCCAGAAATCTAAACAGCGAGTAGTTGTCATTTGACACAGCGGAGGAGGCAGCGTTATATTTGGCTGACAGGTTTTGGAAGCTCAATTGGACAATCTCTATCCCGCAACAGAGGCTATTCATCGAACTGAGTTTCTTCCCTTCAATTCTCTGTTAATGCAAACCTTTAAGCTATTTCCCAGAACTTGGTATAAACACATAAATATGGAAAAGCAGAGTAATTTTTTTTATATAGGAAATGTTCTTTCAACCGACGTGAAACTGAGATCATGATGGAATTATAAAAAATTGAGATCCTTGCCTTAATGATGCACAGACCATAAACCCTTTTAAGTTTTTTTTTTTACGTTTTTTGACGATTGAATTTTTTTTCATTTCTGTTATGATTACAAAGCAAACAGATCGACATACATTGAACTTGTAAATTTCATTTTTTTTGCTAAAAATTGTTAGGACACGTGTCATTTTATTGAATGCTGACGTGTCACCTTCTTGAAAGAGTTCCTTCTTCTTTTATATAGTAGACTAGTGATTGTTCCGCGTTACGCGCGGATATTTATATTTATTTTTTTAATAATTTTTGTGTTAAGAATAATTAATTAAATCATTAAATTTTAAAAATTAGCTTGAAATTTTACCAAACATTAAATTGTAAACACTGTTTTGTAAGCTGCCTGAATTAGTTTGATATAATACTTCATGTGAATATAATCATCAAATAGAATTGTTTCTTTTCTTAAACAACCTCTATTATATTACGAGACAATTTTTGTATGTACTTTGAGATTTTATTTGCGAGTACTCTTAATATATTTTGGATATTAAACTTTGTAGTAGATAATTAGAGAACCAACAAATACAAAACTACAATAATTTCCAAAACTTTGATATCTTTCTCTCCGGTCTATTCATTTGAAAGAAATTAAAATCTCTCTCTGATTGGCTATTTTTAATAGTTAATAGATACCAATATAAAGACGTTTATCCCAACTTCTTCGCTTCCTCTGTAAGTGAAGTTGTTATTTTGTTATAGAAAATCGAATAGAACACTACTATATGAAAATATATATCATGAACCCAACCTACATATACAATCTTTTATTATTCTTTTAATTGGATCTTATCAAAATGGGTTATTTTTGTATACGTTTTCGGGTTGACCGAACCAGCGCACTGAGAAGCCCTCTTGTTTTGCCACTTATTTAGTTTTAAACGCATATTTTCTTCCCAGTTACATGTTGTGAAATAGAGCGTTTTTCGTCGACTTATATATCACCATAGACTCGCACTATTGTAGTGGATAGCACTAAGTGGCAAAAAAGTTAAATCAACCATTTTTATATATGATCTCAGGCATTATCTTTGAAATAACCATCTGTCATCTCGTTGACTTCATATGCGATCCTCTCCATATATGAAGTCTTTGTTGGGTTAATTATTTGGTCATTGGTATACTAATCTTTTCCAATCCCTGATCTTCCTTCCCGCGCGCCTTAAACATCTTCAATCCTTGGAAGCTCGTTTCCTCTCCCTCTCCTCTCCCTTCATACATATTTTTAGAAATCAGAAATGATTTAACTTAAGAACTGGTAAGAAATGTGTACAGAACTAATTAAATGGTACGTTCTTAGCACAACCACTGTTGGAGGTGAAAACCGCACCCCGGTTTTCTCCGGTACAAACCGAGATCGGCGTAATGTAAATCCGGTTCACGAATGAATGTACCGGGGAAACTGGGCTGAATAAGATCTTAGGTCGAACGCAGCCCATTAAGCCTAGGTCGGCGAGAAGCTTCTCGAAGGAACCGAGAAGTTTCCCGAGTTCGGTCGAGAATAGGAAAGTTTCCTATTGGAAAAATAAAACTACTACGAGAAAAGGCAAAGGACCGAGAGAAAAGGAAAGTCCTCTCGGTCCCATATCACTAAAAATGCACTCGATGACCGACTCAGAAGATATATGTAAAGGGAGATGGATCGACACCAGAGAACACAAGATATTCCAGAGAAGACTTAGAGACTGAGAACTCATCACACTAGATTCTTGGTTTCATAAAGTCTTAGTTCGTTATTATCTGCTTAACTACCAAACTCAGTTGTATTCTTTCGATTCGATCTAATAAAACCCGAATTTACCGATCTAAAGTACTGTTTTGCCCCTTGTCGATATTCACATATTAACAATTGGCGCGCCAGGTAGGGGGCCTTAAACAGATTTTTCAGTTTTAGATCGGACTTCGGATAGATTGAATCAGCGATGACGGACCAAGCCAACACTCAGGAGGAAGGAAACCCTCTCGGTAGAGAGAACACTAACGTCCGAAACCCTGCAGAGCAGGGAGGAGGAATTCCTGGGGAAAACGCTGGGACTGAAGCCGGCCAAACTCCCGCAGCTGTAGGAGGTTTTGGAACGGAACTATTGCTCCAAGTGTTCAACGCTCAGTTCGAGGCCATTAACAAAAGGAGCGAGGAACGTTTCAGTCAGATGGCAACACAAATCGCCGGGCTTCAGTCAAGCACGAACTCCCCTTCGAGTTCGGAACATCATTGACGATCTCAATACTGACGGAGATCCAGCCGGAACTATGAGGTCTACCGCAGTCGGATCAGCGAATGCACCAGCATCGGATTTAAGCCGAGACGCCGAGTTTGAAGCAATGAAGGCGCAACTTCGCGAGATCACTTCGAAGATACATCAAGCAACAAGCGCGGCTCCGGAGATCGAGCGCGTCATTCAGGAAACACAGAAAACACCCTTCACACTGCGCATAGCAGGAACGCCGGTCAAACACATGGAGAAACTGAAGATAAAGATCTATGAAGGCAATACCGACCCTCGACACTTTTTGACATCATTCGGCATCTGCATGAATCGATATCAGTTCAAATCTTCCGAGGAGAGAGATACAGTTCAGTGTCAACTGTTTGTGGAAAGTCTGGGAGGAGTAGCTCTCGACTGGTTCTCGCGACTCGAGGCCAACTCAATCGATAACTATAAAGAGTTGACGACGGCCTTCGTCTAACACTTCTCCATGTTCATCGGGCAGAACACCAAGAACTCTGAGCTCTGGCAAATAGCCCAAGGAGCAAGCGTGAGCCTTCGCGATTTCATCCAGCTCTTTAAGACGATTGTCGCTAATTGTACGATCAGCGATGAAGCCGCCCTCTTATGCCTTCGCGATTTCATCCAGCTCGGATAAAAACTAGCTTCCGAAGCGCAATCACGCACAACCCTCCACAGACGTTAGAGGACGCACTACACCGAGCTAATACTTACATCGCCGAAGAAGAAGAGGAGGCCGCTTATGAGCAAAGTTATTCGACAAAGCAACCCGAGCGTTCGAAAGCAACAACAAACAAACCACAGTCAGGATACAACAGAGGGTACGGGAATCGTAAGAAGTTCTACGCTAATGCGATCCAGCAACCAACCAAACAATGGAATAATAAATGGGTCCGCGGTGAAGAAGATCAGGACAAGTCCTTGTTCTACGAATTCCACAACCGTAGAGGACATAGCACCGAAGAATGCAGACACCTGCGAGAATATCTACTCGGCCAATACCGAAAGGGGCCAATCTCGGTTGACGATCTCCGTCGCTCAAACACGCCTAGGAACAGTGGGCAAATCTCGATTGACGATCTCCGTCGTTCAAACATGCCTCGACCAAATAACATACAGCTCGAGAACGCCATCACCAAGGATCCACCAACTCCACCGGCTTTACCGACGTTACCAGCTTTACCGGCGCTACCACCACCGCCACCGAATCCGCCTGCATTGCCCGAACAACAGAAACGCAATCGTGACGATCGAGCACCAGAAAACCATGCTCCCAAAGCAAGGAAACGCGTCAACATGATAATGGGGGCCATCGAAGCTTGCAGCTATTCGGTTCGAGCTATCAAAGAATACAGTAGACAGGCCGCCAGCGCGGCCAAAGTCCCGCACGATCCGCCGAAGGGAACGCCTTTGGTATTTACCGAGGCCGACACAATCGGACTGCATAAACCACACAACGACGCCCTCGTCGTCGAACTGCTTCTCGACGACGTCGAAGCTAGTCGCATTCTGGTCGACACAGGCAGTTCGGTCAACATTATCTTCAAGGAAGCACTTGACCAGCTCGATTTACCGTCAGATAAGATTGAGCCTTTTATCGAGCCACTTACAGGTTTCGACGGAGAACGTTGCATGACGGTCGGCATGGTCAACATATCGATCTACCTCGGTGGAGTCGTAAAGATTATCCAGTTCCTTATCCTCGACAAACCGGTAATCTACAACGCCATCCTCGGTACGCCTTGGTTACACGCAATGAAGGCGGTTGCCTCAACCTACCATCAATGCCTGAAGTTCCCAACTCCCGACGGTGTCTACACTCTCCGAGGAAACCAAACCGTCGCTCGATCATGTTACATAAACGAGTGCAAACTCCGCTCAGCCAACGAAGCTTGTGTCATCAGTTCGTTAGGACCGACGAACGAGCTCGTCGTCCAGCAGACAAAGCCTAAGCAGGAGTCGATCGTTCAAGTTTGCATCGACGAACTAAGGCCAGAGTGTCAAGTCGGAATCGGTGCCGAACTCGACTCAGCATCCGCGATCTGCTCATTCACTTTCTGAAACAGCATTCGTCAACCTTCGCATGGTCGGTAGAAGTTATGCCTGGGATTGATCCACAGATCGCGTGTCACGAGCTTAACATCGATCCAACATACAAACCGATCAAGCAGAAACGCTGAAAGCTCGGACCAGAGAAGGCGCAAGCCGTCAAATGATGAGGTCGAGCGGTTGCTTCAAGCAGGATCTATTACTGAGGTCAAATATCCTGATTGGTTAGCAAATCCCGTAGTCGTTAAGAAAAAGAACGGTAAATGGAGGATTTGCGTCGACTTTACCGATCTCAATAAGGCATGTCCGAACGATAGTTTTCCTTTGCCTCATATCAACCGCCTTGTGGAAGCGACTGCCGGAAACGAACTACTCTCGTTTATGGACGCATTCTCCGGATATAATCAGATTCTTATGCATCCGCAAGATCGGGAAAAGAAATCGTTCATCACAGACCGCGGCATATACTGCTATAAGGTCATGCCTTTTGGTCTGAAGAATGCTGGAGCAACGTACCAACGACTGGTGAACCGGATGTTTGCAAGCCAGCTCAGGCGAACTATGGAAGTTTACATTGACGATATGCTCATGAAATCACTCGTCGCTTCCGATCACATCGGTCATCTTCGCACATGCTTCGATATTCTTGACCAGTATGACATGAAGCTCAATCCCACTAAGTGCACGTTTGGCGTAACGTCTGGAGAGTTCCTCGGATACATAGTCACACGGCGAGGCATTGATGCTAATCCGAATCAGATTGCAGCTATACTCGAGCTCCCATCTCCGGCAACCAAACGCGAAGTTCAACGACTCACTGGACGCATTGCAACACTTAATCGGTTTATATCCAGATCGACAAACAAGTGCTTGCCTTTCTACCAACTTCTTCGCGGTAACAAACATCTCGAATGGAATGAGAAGTGCGAAGAAGCTTTTGCCGAGCTAAAGAAATACTTGTCTACGCCACCAGTCTTATCCAAACCCGAAACCGGCGAGACACTTTACCTCTACATCGCAATTTCAGAGTACGCGGTCAGCAGTGTTCTTGTTCGAGAAGATCGTGGCGAGCAGAAGCCAATTTTCTACACAAGCAAATCCCTTAATGGGTCAGACTATCGATACCCGACCTTGGAGAAATTCGCCTTTGCCGTGGTTATTTCCGTGAGGAAGTTACGCCCGTATTTCCAATCACTCGATCGTTGTCCTAACTGACTACCCTCTTCGCACTTTCCTCCATAGCCCAAGTCAATCCGGACGACTCGCCAAGTGGGCCATTGAACTCAGCGAATATGACATCGAATACCGAGGAAGAACCGCAACGAAGTCTCAAGTCCTGGCGGATTTCTTGGTCGAACTCCCACCTGAGCTCGTCGAAGCTAATCCTGTCATACAACCTTGGATTCTTCACGCCGATGGCTCCTCTTCCCATAAAGGATCCGGCGTCGGGATTCGTCTCAAATCCCCCGAAGGGGAGGTTATCGAACAATCATTCCGCCTTGGCTTCCCGGCGTCCAACAATGAAGCCGAATACGAAGCATTGATTGCCGGACTACGACTTGCTAAAAGTATCGGTGCCGAACATGTACACGCCTACTGCGACTCTCAACTTGTGGCTAACCAATTTCACGGCGAATACGAGGCCAAGAACGATCGCATGGACGCGTACCTCAAAGTCCTTAAGGATGTTGCTTCGGAGTTCTCAACCTTCGAGCTTACAAAGATACCTCGTGATGAGAATGCAACCGCCGACGCCTTAGCCGCTCTCGCGACTAATTCCGATCCCGATCTTCGGCGAACTATCTCAATCGCAGCAATCGAACGACCAAGTATCGAGCCTGGTCCAAACTGCAACATCATCACAAGACGACGTGATTACGAAGCCCAACCCAATCTCGCCCCACCCCTCACCCGAAAGACGAAACCCAGAGAGGTCGTCACCGACCTCAACACCACCATGGACGAACAAAACGATAACGAATCTGATCCCGAAGACGAGTCCGAAGGCCAACACGTTCCAATCGATATCGAAGCCGAAGGTGAAGACGAGCCCGAAGATTGGACCTTAGAAATTGTGGGCTACATTGGAGATGGAACGGTCCCCGCAGATAAATGGGCAGCTCGGCGCCTTAAGGCTCGTGCAGCTCGATACGTGGTCATTAAGGGCACTCTTCTCAGATGGGATGCGTCCGGTGTACTCTTGACTTGCGTTCACGGCAACGAAATCATGGAAGTAATGCAGAAAGTACATGAAGGAGAAGGAGGGAATCACTCCGGAGCTCGGTCTTTGGCGTTCAAGATCAAAAAAGCTGGTTATTACTGGCCTACCATGCTTTCCGACTGCGAAAAGTATACAGCACGCTGCGAGAAATGCCAACGTCATGGCCCGATGATCAACCTTCCTACCGAGCTCTTGATGACTTCGACCGCACCATACCCTTTCATGCGCTGGGCAATGGACATCATCGGTCCTTTTCGCCGATCTACGACTCAGAAGCAATACGTTCTGGTCGTCACGGACTACTTCACCAAATGGGTCGAAGCCGAAGCAGATCCCGAGATTCACGGAATCGATATCAAGAAGTTCGTCTGGAAATTTATCATCTGCCGACACGGAGTCCCGTACGAGATCGTTATGGACAACGGAACCCAATTCACTTCGATAATTTTCACAGATTTTTGCGCCAAGTGGAAAATCCGACTAAGCTTCTCTACCCCGCGATACCCACAAGGAAACGGACAAGCCGAAGCCACAAACAAAACCATTATCGATGGTCTGAAGAAGCGACTAGATACCGCTAAGGGAACTTGGGCGGACGAACTCGATGGTGTTTTGTGGTCCCACCGAACTACACCACGACGTTGGACCGGTCAATCACCATTCTTCCTTGCATATGGTACCGAAGCTATGTGTCCCGCCGAACTCAATGTCCCAAATATTCGCCGAACCATGCTCACCCAGTAACCCGATGCGAATAACGACATGATGCTCGACACAATCGACTTAGTCGAAGAACATCGCGAACGAGCATTACTCCGGATACAAAACTACCAACAACTGGCAGCTCGTTACTATAACAAGAAGGTTAAAGGCCGTCACTTTGAAGATGGTGATCTCGTACTTCGCAAAGTCTATCAAAACACAGAAGAAAAGAACGCAGGAAAACTCGGCGCGGACTGGGAAGGACCATACCAAGTGATGAAGGTTGTTAAGCCCGGCATTTATCAACTCATGAAGTCAGACGGAACTCCGATCCCGCGATCTTGGAACTCAATGCATCTCAAACAATACTACTACTAGTTCGTTACGAGCTTGATCAAAAAAAAAAAAAAAAAAGCCTCCGAACTACTTAGTCGGAGCAAAAAACACTTTTGTACTCAAAACTACGAATGGCTTGATCCCTTTAAAGGGTACGTAGGCAGCTCGTTACCGAGTCCAGCTATAACATCAATAAAATTTTATTAAGTCAAAAAACGTCTAAGTTCTAGTTCGGTAATCACAAGATACCGAACTCCTTGTTCTTACATCGACTTCCTGGCTAGTTGTTCGATAGCATTCCACATGAATGCAAACTTAAAAAGCCGAGATCCGTCTCGCGAACACCCACATGGTGCCGTGGTAAAACCACATATCAAAAGCCGGGGCCAGTCCCGCAGTTAAATTTCTAAGTCACCAAGAACAATAAGCCGAGCTCATCTCGCATACTTAGGTTCGACTTAGAAAAACCTTGAACTCGTTTCGTGCGCTTACAAGAGTTTGAGTAAATTCACTCTTCCAGTACAACACGATTCACTTGGGTTCCCCAGGCCGAGCTCTAATGCTCGCACAATAAGCCGAACTCCTCAGATTCGCACCGTAAGCCGAGTTCACAACACTCGCAAATGTAAGCCGAATTATCGCAATTCGCTACCGAAAGATAAAATTATGTTCAAAACGTCATCTGCTAAATACCGATCTACTACTTGAGAAAACGTTAAGAAAAGATACTACCGCAAAAGAACAAAAAAAGGAACATATCATAAAACCTTCCCAAAGGCAAATAAGTTCAAAAACCCACCGAAGGTTCAGAAATGAACAAAATATTACATATAACCCATGAAAGGGCAAATGAGTTTGAGTCAAAGAAGAAAAAGAAAAGACTAAGCAGTCTTTGAAGTAGCAGCTTGATCAGCGTTAAGCATATCCTCATTCGAACCGAACTACTCGCCCCTCGCAGGATCCTGTGCGCTTTGGGTCACATTCACGACCGGAATATCATCCTCTTCTGTGAACGGAGACATCCGCTTGTCTTCTTCCATCAGAACACAGGCGTTGATTGAACGGAAGTCTTCCAGAGCCTTAGCGTGCTTCGCCTCGATGTCAGCGACCATCTCAGGCGGGACTTCGTACAGACCTTTCTTCTTCAGTTGTTTGATGAAGCCGAGAACTCCGGTGAGCTGGTTGACCACTAAGTACGACTTACAAGCTCGATCTGCATCATCCAAACTTCGGATAACCTTCTCCAAGCGTTCACAAGCCGTCGCGTGAACGCTCCTTGCTCGACCTTTCCAATGGGCCACCAAGCCTTGCAGCCGTTCCTTGTCCTTTTCGAATTCCCGAGAAAGCAAGGTCTGAGCTTCGGTCAGCTCGGCTCTAACCGCTTTTAGCTCCGAACTCTCCTGCTTCAGCAGTTCAACAGCAGTGTGGAGAGAGTCGTTGATCTGAAGTTCGGTGGTGAGACGTTCTTCCGCCTTAGAGATCCTTTCCTCTAGCTCGGCGACTCTTACCTGCTCATCGTACAGCGCAACCTCATACGCTGCGACCAAATTGTTGGTCTGGCTAGCGAGCTGTGCCAAAAGGAAAGTGTGAATTAGAACTCATACTTAGGAAAGTAGTAAAATAAAAGAATGGAATCAGAAAAGTACCACGGCAGTGGTACGAGCAATCCCTTTGTATAGATTAGGGAACCGGAGCTCGGAGATCGCCGGGAGACTCGGGACGTCAGAGGAGATCTTGTGGTAAAGATCGGCGCAAGCGTCGACGTTCTCCTCAAAAGGACCCTCTTCATCGTAATCGAAACACACCTTAGTCCTTTTGGCTGGCTCTGGCTCCGGAGAGTCTTCAGCATGCTCCCTGTCTTGCCTCTTCCGGGAGTTGGAGGCTTCAGGCTGATCCTGAGGAATCGCGAGATCCGACATTGCAGCCGTCAAAGGATCAAGCTCGGCGGCGGTATCTGGCGCAAGAGAAGACCCTTCAATTCTCTTTATTTCTTTGAGGATTTCTTCCTCTTCAGCTTCTTCTGACCAGCCTGGTCAGGTGAGTTCGCAGCAGGTGGCAGTTCTTCGGGCTGCTCGTTCGTCCCTTCAGTGGCAGGGATAGAAGCCGGATCTGCAACATTCGGTTCCTCCTCGTCGAATAAGGTGGGGATCTCATCAAGTGAAAGCATCCTTGCGGTCCGTGTTCGTTTGGCTCGCGACTTCGGCGCCTTTCGTCTTGGAGCAGCTCGGGGCTTGTTAGCTCGAGCCTTTCGCTTCAGCGGCTTCGGTTCCTGAACGGAGGCAGCAAAGAAAATGTATGAAGGGAGAGTTCGGGACAAATTCAAAATAGAACATAAAAGGGAACTCAATAATCAAACCTGCTTTTTTAGCTCGGCGCTGAAGAATCTCTTCCCAAACTTCAGGCCAACGGCGTTTACCGGCTTCGCTAAAAGCTGCTTCGAATTTAGAGGTGAGTCCGGAGTTGAGAATAATGCTCGGGAGATGACTACCTGCAAAGATGAACCGTAAAGGAGTTAGAGGAATACAAAATCGAAAATCAACAAAGTACAAGATCATCTTCTACCGATCGGAATCTTCCACTCCGATTGAGTTGGGATGTCAGAGTTGCTGACGGTGAGATCGTTCATCTCGAGGTAAAAGTACTGAGACTCCCAGTCATTGAATTTACTGGGCTTAACTCCAGTAACGATGTTCTTCCTCGGTTTGGCGTTCGCTGCGAAGAACCACTCCTTGGACTTGTGGATGTTAACTGAGAAGAGGTCTTCAAAAAGTCGACTGGTTGGGATTTCGCCGAGCTCGTCGCATAGAGTAACGAACCCTACATAGTTCGTTATCGAGGCCGGCATCACATGCGTGAGAGCTACGCCGCGCCGGTTACAGTACCCAAGAAGACGGGAAGGGATTGGAAGCGAGAGCCCGCACTGCGTGAAATAGGTCAAGTAGACGCAGAGGAAGCCTTTGGGGACGTCCCACGGCTGATCTCCAGCTTCTGGAATTATAAAGATGACTTGGTCCGAGAGCCCGTTTTCTTCGAGTACAGCCTGAACAGCACCCGGAGAAACAGAAGAAGACGAGACGTTGTTGGGACGAACGATCCTTCGTCTTGGAAGTGGTGGTGAAGCATGGTCCACTGCTTCGAGGTTGTCCTCGGCAACTTCTGCTTCAGTGGCGTTCTCCTCCCGATTCTCTTCCTCGGGTTCCTCGACCTCCTCGATCTCATGGTCAATACCGCCAATGTTCGGCCCAGTCCGAGCCCCCGTTTCGCGAGTCTCTGTAGTCAGTTGCTCGGTAGCTTTGACTCGAGGTCTAGCACGGCTGCTGCTCGCATCAACCGACCTAGAGTTCTTGCGAACTAGCTGCGGGGGATTGCTCTCTCTTTGAGAAGAATCTGATGAATGAGGATGTGAAGAGGAAGAGCTCGGCTCCGAAGGTTCACGGCGATCTTCCGGAAGGATCTGATTAGAAGAAGAATTGATCGAAGAAGAGTTCGAAGACATGTTGAGTTCGAAGAAATGAAGTCGAAAGAGGATCTGGAGAAAGTGAAGAACAGCTTGAAGATCGATCGGAAAAGATTGAAGATCGATCGGAGAATTTGAAGATCGATCGGAAAGTTTGAAGATCGATCGAAAAAGTCAAGAAATTGCGACGGCGGGAGTTGAAGAAACGAGAGAGAACTACAAACAAAAACTAGAGAGAGAAACAAAATCTAGAGAGAAGGGAAAGCAGCGTACCTTATATATGCTTGAGCGAGAATAATGAATGCGAGAAGGAGAAATTCCCTTATAAACAGTGGGAATCGTGGATCCTCGATTTTCGCAAAAACCCAGAATTCACGTGCTTCATTGAAGACAGGGTGCGAAACGTCCAGGAATGCGAATCGATTTCAGTTACCGAGCTCGGTTTGTGATCTACTCTTAAGTTTAAAACAAATAAGTTCGACTAAATCCACTTCCTTTCATCGAACTGAGGGGAGGGCTAACTGTTGGAGGTGAAAACCGCACCCCAGTTTTCTCCGGTACAAACCAAGATCGGCGTAATGTAAGTCCGGTTCACGAAGGAATGTACCGGGGAAACTGGGCTGAATAAGATCTTAGGCCGAACGCAGCCCATTAAGCCTAGGTCGGCGTGAAACTTCTCGAAGGAACCGAGAAGTTTCCCAAGTTTGGTCGTGAATAGGAAAGTTTTCTATTGGAAAAAGGAAACTACTACAAGAAAAGGCAAAGGACCGAGAGAAAAGGAAATTCCTCTCGGTCCCATATCGCTAAAAATGCACTCGATGACCGAGTCAGAGAATATATATAAAGGGAGATGGATCGACACCAGAGAACACAAGATATTCCAGAGAAGACTTAGAGACTGAGAACTCATCACGCTAGATTCTTGGTTTCATAAAATCTTAGTTCGTTATTATCTGCTTAACTACCGAACTCAGTTGTATTCTTTCGATTCGATCTAATAAAACCCGAATTTACCGATCTAAAGTACTGTTTTGCCCCTTGTCGATATTCACATATCAACAACCACCTACAGAAAAGGTAGAAATATAGTATGCTAATCAAATCCAAACTTACGTTACCGTTTTTGCCGAACATACAGAGAGCTATTAAGAAGGAATATAGACTTTTGAAACAAATCTGTCAAGAAAAAAAATTTAGAAACAAATGAAGAATGTTAAGAAAATAAAGAAATGATGATGACCAATATGGAAGATAGGTTCTTGTTCGATGCTTGTAGTCACTTTACAAATTAAATATGAGTATCAGCTATGAATGATTTAACAGGGAGAAAATAAGATTAAAGTAAACAGAAATCAAACCTTTGTATCCGAAGAGACAATCTTGGTTAGCTTGGCGTAACTGATATCACGTATTTCATATTAAAGTTGTTAAGAGATTACAAAAAAATTGGTGTTACAATTTTCAATATATATGCTTTGATGCTTACTTCATCCCATTTTGGTTTGCTGCAGCTACTTCACCGCCTTTGTCTCCATCGCTGAGTGCGTTCACCTCTTAGTTTGGTCGAATTCGAAACCTTCTTGTTCATCCGGAACGCCAACCTTCGATCCCTATTGACAGTATCGGGACTGCGAGTCGATGCTTCTTCATAACTGCACAGAACAAATAACTTGATGCCGATACATGAAAGCAAAATAATAGAAATTCAATATATATGGGTAATGGGTTAGCGCTGATTTCAAAACCCCTAAATCTAAGAAAAAGTGAAGAATAAGGACAATATCACTACGTCGGCTGGAGGTCATTAAACAATTGAATTCATAGGTTTAAAAATGAGAGACTGATATTATATATAGGAGATGAGATCAAAGGTTTAAACCGAAGAGAATGGCACTGTGGAAGACCATCAGGTTTAGAGTTTATTAGAGTTGGAACTCTGTTTTAAAAACGATTTTGTGGCATAATGTATCAGAGTTTAGAGTTTATTAAGGAGGAAAGGAAGAGCCGAAGAGACATTCCATGAGATATGTTTGCCCTTGATTGGGCTGACGTAGACTGTCAAAAAGTTTAACGTGGGAATTTATATAAAGGGAAGTATTTGTACTTAATGTGACCACGTGTCTATTTGAAATCAAGCTAAAAACTGCTGATGTGGACACAATCAGAAACCCCAAACTTGTGCTTTTATATAGTATAGATTTTAAATAAAAAAAATGCTAAGAACCAATTTAACTATTTAAGGACTCTCCATAAACATGTCCTTAGAAAGCTTTGTAATGTTAGTTTGAGGATTTTTTTTTTTTTTTGGTAGGCATGATAGTTTGAGGATTAATGAATAAGAAGTTGAGCCAAAAAAAAATAATAATAATAAGAAAACTCCAGAAAAAAAACGTAAGTACACGGTGACAAGTTTCTCCAATATAACCAACCACACGAAGGTGTCTTCTAAACCTTCCTCTAGAAACTTCTCGTTGATCGAAACCCAACCCTAATCCACGAAGCAAACTCTTGTGATTTGAGAATAACCTCGTAAAGCTATTGGAGATGGCGGAACACTTAGCGTCGATTTTCGGGACGGAGAAGGACCGCGTGAATTGCCCGTTCTACTTCAAAATCGGCGCTTGCCGTCACGGAGACCGATGCTCGCGCCTCCACACCAAGCCCAGCATCAGCCCCACGCTCCTCCTCTCGAACATGTACCAGCGTCCCGATATGATCACCCCTGGGGTTGATGTCCATGGCAACCCGATCGATCCCCGTAAGATGCAGCAGCATTTCGAGGTCAGATTTATTCGCGAATCTGTTCTTTTTCGTTTGTTTCCCTTGCTTTAGGGGATCAAATTTGGGAATAACTTATGCGATTTGGGTTTACTGTTTTGAATTTCTGAGATTTGCTGCGAAGAGATTGTTTAGTTCAAATGTTCCTGAAGATTGTGAATCACGGGTTTTATGTAATTTATTTGAGTTTCTTCTTATATCCAGTTAAAAGGATTTGGGAATTATTGATACGATTTAGGGTTATTGTTTTGAGATTTGCTGCGAAGAGATTGTTTAGTTAATAAGCTTGTAATGGAATATGTTCCTGAAGATTGTGATTAATGGGTTTTATGTAATCAAATTTTTGTTAGCGACCATGTATTCTTCTGTAGTTCTTGTTAATGATTATGAATGAATGATTCCACTTATGATATGCCATTTTTTCAGTATCCTGAAATAATGTAGTGAATTTTTCAGGACTTCTATGAGGATCTTTTCGAGGAGCTGAACAAATATGGCGAGATTGAGAGTCTGAACATTTGTGACAATATTTCTGACCACTTGGTTAGTATTTTCGAGATACTTTTGCAAAACATTCTCTCATTGATTCCTTCCTGTATGTTAATCACAAGAATATTTATCTTCTTGTGTAGGTTGGTAATGTGTACGTGCAGTTCCGAGAAGAAGAGCAAGCAGGAAAAGCACTTCAGAATCTTCGCGGAAGATACTATGCAGGTTGTTTACAGCTAAAGTGTTTCTCTTGTGTATAAGTTTTCTTCGCTTTCAAGCCTACATGCTTTGTGAGGCCTTAAGTCTTACTTTTTAACACATTTGGAAACACAGGTCGCCCAATCATTGTTGACTTCTCCCCTGTCACCGACTTCCGCGAAGCTACTTGCCGACAGTACGAGGAGGAGATTTGCAAACGTGGTGGGTACTGCAACTTTATGCACCTTAAAAGCATTAGCAGGTCAAATGTTTTCCCTTTGCCATGTATTGTTCATATTAGCAGATCCGACTAGAAACCACCTGACCCTCTTGTCCATCAACTTAACTTTAAAGGGATTTGAGGAGGCAGTTATATGGAAGGTACAATAACAGGCATAGCCGTAGCAGAAGTAGGAGCCCATACAGACATCGTAGTCACGAAGAGCGCTCTAGTGGAAGGCATAGCCGCAGTAGAAGGTATGATGATGATGATGATGAAAGCCGGATCAGGAGCAGAAGATACAGGAGCATTAGTCCTCGCCACAGGAGAGGGAGGAGTAGGACAAGAAGCAGAAGTCCCGGTGGAAGGAGACAGAGAAGTCCTGTTAGGGAAGGGAGTGAGGAAAGACGTGCCAAGATTGAGAAATGGAATAAGGAGAAAGAAGAGCAGGAAAATGCAAGTAGGAAGAGTGAAGGGGGTGATAACAATTGCAGCGATGGGTACATGAGGAAGGACCACTATCATCAGGAGCCGTCCTCTCAACAAGAAGGCTATTGATACCACCAATTACCTTTGGTCAGTGAAAGTTTTCCTTTACCCCTTTTCCATCTTTATAGGTAGTTTTCAGTTAGGTATTGCAACATTTAAATAAACATAGCTCACAGCCATTTTCCGCTGTGCAGGTTGCAGGGTCAGATATCTGATTGAAATTCAGTTAGCTCACATTCATTGATTCGTGCTTGATGACTTTTCGCTTGAGATTTATGCATGTTAGTAGCCATGATGACACTATAGCCTTGCATGTGCATGCTTACTTGCCCTCCATTGACATGAACTACCATAACCTTCACGTTTGCATTTGTGAGTCAGTTTTTCCAAATTGTTTTCTACTTATCTACAATCTTAAAGCTGCGAAGTTTCTGATACAAACCCAGTTTTGCATTTAGGAAGATAGCATTTTCCTTAAGTTAGGCCAGTTTTTTAGTCTGTTGTGATGTTGATTGAATATTTTTCGAGTCCTAGAATATATCATTGCGTGTTTTGGGTCTGTTTGGTTTTGAATTCTATATACTGCGTGTAGTACTTTGTTTGTTACAGTCAGGGAAATATGACAAGTGCACTCTGGGGATTAAGCAAATGCAACCAAAAATTTTCTTCTCTGTTGGTTCTGGTCATCTAATCTCCAACTCCATTTTCTTCCCAACTCTTTGGCTTTGTTTCTCTTTTGTGATGATGATGCTTACGGTTTGTGAAGAGTTTTGCAGGTTCAGGTATGGACTTGTAGGGTGATGGTGCGAAAAAGGTTTTGTTAACAATCTGCAGATTTGTTTTACAGGTTTGGTGGTGGCTGGAAGATTTGTGCTTTAACAGATTGCAGATGTGAGGAACGTTGGATTCAGAATATTTTCTCTTCATTTCTTGGTTTTGAGTTTTCAGACTTTTTTGTAGACTTCTCTTGTTTGGAGTTTTATTGTGTGCTTTGTCTAAACTGATATATTACCAGCCGTTTCAAAGACAAATCAAACTGTGCTGATTTGAATTAAACCATTAGTTGTCTTTTCCGATGCATTAATTTTTTCCGACCAACTCAGTATCGTAATAGAGATATTGGAAAGTAGTAGAATTTTTCTTATACAAAAGTTTAATAATTTTTCATGGAGAAAGTGAATCATCTTACCAATTTCTAGTTGCTTTGGCCATTGTGTTGGATCCATGACCTTAATTGTCCGATTTCGAATTTGTCAATCGAGATATCCGAAGTTTCATAACAGATAAGATTTTGTATATTAATAGTTTTGTTTAGCTCTCTAGTTTGTAGAATTTACAATTATATTAATAGTTTTGTCTAGCTCTCTAGTTTGTAGAATTTACAATTATATTTTCGTAGCCGTCTTTTCCTCTTCCGCACTCGGAAATTCCCCTGTCACTTATTCACAAAGGACACATATACCGGCTGAGAAAACCTTTTAATCGATGTCACTTATTCACAAAGGACACATACGGCTAAGAAAACCTTTTAATCGATGTATTCTTTCCTCTAGGTCGACCTTTGATGAATTGTTGATGGTGGAATATTTAGTAGGTACACGAATTATATTCACTCAGCGATTTCAAGTCAAGGGGTCTCTTCATTCTGACCTCAGTTGTTATTCTTTGTTGTTTTATTTTAAATTTAACAGTTGTGAACTTTTGCGCGATGGCAACAACGAAGGAAAATGTCAATCCCGGAGGCAGAGAAAAACGAAAAGGAAGTAACATGAAATATATTTGTTAAACGTGTGATCAAGATCGAAAGTGTGACCAAAATAAATCTGATGGTCGCTTGGTCGGCGAAGTGGTAGACAACCACAGAAGATTGTTTTGTTAGCTTGTGACTCTAGTTATTATGGTGTGTTGGACTCTATGAGAAGAACGGGACAAATATCTACTGGAATTATCTAATCGCCGGTTAATACAGGACATGAAATATTGTAAGTGACCAACTTCAGTTTGCGATAGCTGAATGTTTTAGAAAATGGCCCTCTGGTAGTTCCTAGGCTTCATGGCTTCACTCCTCTTGAACTAAAAACGCGTAGATCAGCCAAGACTTGCAACACTGTGAGTCTATAATTGAATGCTCATATGCGGATGTTCGGAAACTTATGTGCATGATCTCAAGTACATTGATTATATTATTTGTAGAAAACATATATAATATTCATAGAAGTTCATGGTTATGTTTTATATAATGTAGTCTGCACAAATCTGCATAAGTTCAAAAAGTTCTTTGAGAAAAGATGGAAACATATAGGAATTCATGTCATCTTTCAAAATCCCACCGGAATCTAAATGATCTGTAACATATACTGTATTTTAGAGTATGATTACAGGCACACTTTCGACCAAAATCGGTACAAACCAAAATCGGCATAATTAAATCTGATCTGTTTCAAACAAATTTAAGATTTTATGCTACTAATCTAAAATAGGCCCTATAATATAAAATTTTTGAAATTTTTTATATCCTGAGCTAATAAAAACAGTTGTCATATATATGAGTAAGAGGTGAGTAAAGAACCGTTAGATAATTAATTTAATAATTTTCATAAATAAACAATGATTATTATGTAACACTAAACACTTCAACCATGAAAAATATATAAAAAAAAAATTTCGAAAACCAAATATATACGTCACAACTCACTTAAAAATTAATAATGAGAAAAAAACTAATTATGATAAAAAAGAGTGATGGCTTATTGAGAAAAAAACTAATTATGACAAAAAAAGAGTGATGGCTTTCTCATACTTTCCTTCTGAAAAGCTACAAGTGACTACGCTGATAATACATTTGTGGGGACAATGGCCAAAACCGACTCAAAGTATATTTAAATGTTCATGTTTAGTTTTTTAAAAAACTTTTCTTTAATTTCTTTATTTAAACATCACTATTATTTTTTTATTTATCTTTTACTTTTATCTTTTAGAATTATGAATTGATTATATATTTATTTATATTTTTTATATTATATGTTAAAATTATTGTAAATGAATAATATATAACAAAAAATATGATACATAGAAATAAATATTCAATTTTCTTTTATAATTATTGTGATGAAATAGTACAACGTTTTAGATCCTAAATGATCTTTATCAAATATATATATATATATATATATAGATTTTTTTTTTGACTTGAGCGTTTTCATTCGTGTTTTGATATTCGAAATAGTGTTAAGGTCTATTAAGAAATTAAGTGAATAAACTTTTTAGTTACACTAATTTAGAAGGATAATCAAATAATAAAAATCTATATATAATTTTTTTTAATGAAACTTCAAATAACATAATACTACAATAAATAAAAAATCTACTCCAAGTTGTTCCTTTCCTATATAGTAGAATTTAGAAAATATAAATAAAACAATCAAATACTATTTTAATTATTATTTTATTTTAATTAATTAGTAAATCAAATAAACAGATTGGATTATTGGTTCGATTTTGAACTCACCACAAGAAAAACATCATTTTACAACGGCCGAAATGGTCGTTATTTCATCGTAATAGGGCTATTACGACGAATTACCAACGATTTCGAAATCGTCGTAAAGTCATCGTCGTAATAGACAAATCGTCGTAAAACCGTCGTATAATATACGACGGTTTCGTTTCGTCGTAACATCGAGGGAAACAAAATCGTCGTAAATGCGTCGTACAGTTTACGACGAGTTTACATCGAATTGCGTCGACTTGGTCTTCGCCTGGACCGTCGTTAAGTGGTCGTTAATGGTCGACGTAAGATCGTCTAAAATGTACGACGCATAAATCGTCGTAAATCAATCATAAAGTATTTAATCATTTCGTCGTAAAATCGTCGTAAAGAACGGACGTATAATCGTCGTATTTGTCGTCGTACATTTTAGTCGTAAATTCGTCGTAATATTTACGACGAATGTACGACGGTTTTAATAAAGCTATTACGACGATTATACGACGTTTAATATAATTGAAAATTAAAAAAAAAAAATTCAAATTAAAATTTAAATTAAAAAAAATTTAAATTTATTAAAATTTGAAATTAAAATTAATTGTAATTTACATAAAAACCCTACAGCTCTAAATCTAAACCTAAATCTAAATCGTCGATCCCGTCATCGGCCTCCTCCCCATCGTCCTGGACGTGTTCCTTGCCGGGTCTTCGGTTTGATGCTTCCGCCGGCGCCTGATCTCCGGCCCTAGGAGGCTCAACCCCGAGAGATCGGAACATCTCCTCATCCGTCTGCACCGGCGGTTGCGTCCTAGTGGCGAACCGACAACCCCATCAGCCCGCAGCTTGTCCAACTGCGCCATGAGCACCGGGTTGTCGGCTCCCATGATCTCGAAGAGACCGTAGAGCTGGTCGATCCTCGTCTCGTAACGGGTCCGCACTCTGATCCATCTCCTGGCGGATAACCGAATCCGGGACCCGGACGTGACCAAACGCCGTAGCTCTCGGGGTATCACGGATGGACCCCATCCCTAATACCCGCTCCTTTTTCTTTGGGGCAACCTACAAATATTTAAAAACATTATGGTTAGAAATTCAATTTAAAACTAAAGTTACATTAATTAATTAAATATAGTAATTAAATTTACCTCTTTGAAGATCTGGTCCATCTCCGCCACCGTCAGCGCTGGGGTCGATTGGACCGAGCTACCTCCCAGAGACGTTTGACGCGCCTGCTGAGTCAGCTGCGTCTGTCGCTCCTCGATCGCCGCACAGGCGGCGTTGTAGATCTCCTCCGCCCGAGGATCCGTGAATTCGCCGTTACGCTTTTTATGCGTCTTGGCGAAAACCTTCGTCATCGGAGGAAGTTCTCCTCTGTTAGCTTCGACCAACAAAATCAAAATGAAAAAATTAATTAGTATCGAGAAATAAAAGTTAATTATTTGAAAACAAAAAAATTAATAATTTTAATTTACTTACCATCATAAGCCGTCTTCCGGCAAAAGGAATCTGGCCGGAAGTGTGCGGGACGTTCTTCCGATTTCCCGCATCGTCAGTAGCGTTCCTGAAAAATATTTTCATTAGAATCTATTATAAGAAAAAAAAATAATGTAAATATTATTGAAATTAACTACTTACCTAGATCCGGAACACTTGGCGGCTGTAGTCTGGTTGTACGGATCCAACCAGTACTGGACAAGGCCCCGCTAGACGGTATTGGCCATAGGCGCCGGCTTAGCCTTGTCACCATCACCCTCCCACTTCCGTTTCCAGTCGGAAACGGTGTTGTTGAGGCGGAATTTGACTTTCTCCTTCAAGGTCGTCTCCACACGTCCGTGTGCGGATGTTTCCCAATGCCAGTTTTGCTAGGAAAAAAAAAAGAAGTTAGTAATTATTGTAAAAAGTTAAAATTTAAAATTAAAATTAAACGAAATGGTAAATTACTTACCGCAAAACACTTGAACCAAGTGTCAAGTGTGGCCTGATCCAGCTTCTTCCAGCTGGTATGGGGTTGTACGAAAAACCCCTTGATGATATCCGCAACGTTACGACCGACTGCATTGTCGGTCGTAAACCTAGTCAAATGGAAAGAGAAAAAGTAAATTAATATCAAATATATAAGAATAAATATTAATTAATTTAAAAATATTGAAGGAAAAAAATTACGTACCAAAAGGTGCCCGGGGCTCGATCCGGGTCGAGTTTGTTCATGGTCTCACGACCGGATTGCGCCAGAAGATCCTGTACCGTAAACTGGGCATACGGTACAGGCGGGATCGGATCAGCCTCAGGATCGGCTTGTGCGGGAGCAGCTGGTTCGGCTGGTGGTGGTGGAGGCGGTGCCAGCTGCGGAACAACGACCGGTTGGGAAACCGTCCGTTGTGTTCCCGAGGACTTCGGGATGGCTGATCCGGTCGCCGAGGTAGACGGGGCAGTACCGTCAGAATCGACGAGCTGTCGGTAGTGAAATCTCTTAGCCCGAGGAGCCATATCGACAGAATCTACAAAATTTTAAAAAATTTGTTACTAATTTTTCAAATATTTATTTAAATTTACAAAATCCGGGCCTATC